CAATAGCAACATTGGGTGGTGCATAAACTTATACCCCCCACGCTGTAACACCAGATTGAGGGTGTCTGACACCCTCTTCTGGCCTCCACAGATATTTACATGCATGTGCACATGCCCCAACACATTAAACTGAAATAAATCTTTTTTAAAAATCGCTTTTCTTCTTGATAGGCTTTCAGACTGTCTGAATTTACATTAACGCGTGGTAATGTGTGACAGTAGCCAAGCTACCTAGAAAGCTGAGACCTGACAGTACTTGAGGCTAGGAAGTCAGAACTAATCTGTGCAACTTAGTGCCATCCCATCTCAAAAAAAAAAAAAAAAGCTGTTATTGTTGCTTTATTCTTATATTTGGTGTTTTAAATTTTGATAACAACTAAGAGCATGTAGTATGCAATACCTATATATACAACATCTGATTTTAGCCCTTACTTTAGATCTGGAAACTGAAACACATTATTCTGTTTTATAACAGAAAACCGATGGGTTCTAGGGCCTATTACTTCTCCATACTAGCGTTTCTAAAATTACTGGAATACTTAAACTTCTGAAAGTCTTTGGCTAGTTAGAGGAATGCCACTCAGTACTAGCAGTATCTAAACTTGGCTTTAAACACAGCGCATGCCACATATTCTAAATTCTGAACTTTGAAAGTGTGCCCTGTTCCTGAACTGTGCAGTTCTTCCTTCTCTAAGATGGAGTCTTAGGAGATGCCTCTTCTGCTGCAGACCAGTCTGGTGTTGACTCGTGTGCAGAATGTGCTGAGCTGTGTAGCTCTTAGAATTCTGCTCCCTGGGTATAGCTTGCTTTTTCAAGTGTAAGGGGTTTGTTTTGGTTTGCATTTTGTTGTCCAGGCTGGCCTCAAACTTGCTTGATAACTGAAGGTGACCTTGAACTCCTGATCCTCTTGCCTTCAGTATGACAATATTTGGCTTTAAAAGTATAAGATTTTGAAAATGAATATATTTTAAGCAACTTTCAGCTCAAGTGAAAGTAACTATCAGTATAGTAGCAGTGTGGGATATTTTTGCAACAGATTCAAATTATATACCTGAAATCTAAAAATGCAGTTTGATGAGGAAAGCAAGAGGATAGATATTTCCCAAAGCAGCCATAGTTAGGAAATATCTTAAGGTCCATTGTTTACTTAACAAATAAAAACCTGTGGGGTTGTAAACACTCTTGGTTTGGAAATACGTTCCAGCAGGTTTATTGTGTTGTCCAAATACGCAGTTTACAAATTAATGTGTTTTAACCATATGTTCTTGAGCAAAAGCATTGTGAGTTTTTCCCTTCTTCCTCTCCCTTTTCCCCTTCTCCCTCATCCCCATGGCTTGGAACTCACAGAAATGCACCTGTCTCAGCCTCCTGATTGCAGGGATTAAAGGCGTGTGCCACCATTCCCATCGAGCATTGTGAATTCTTAAAGTAGTGTATGGGAATGAAAAGAAATAGCGTTACTGGAGATGTGAAGAAACTTTGAACTGGGGAAATGTGGGTTGTTAGAGCAGTTATCAAAGATGGTACAGTAATAAATCACATGGTAACTTAAACAGAGTAGCCAGTGGAGACGAGCGAATAAATGTAAAACACTACTGCTTGAAATGTGAAATTAATATTTGCAGGTAGGGTCTAGCTGTTTATATTTGAATCAGAAAATGTGACATATGTGAACCAAGCCAAATAACAGAGGTGGAAATGCTGTAGCGTGCACCTGGTGAGCAGTTGGGGTGTCTCCACAAAGACAAGCTGTCTTCATGCACTGGCTACTGGAGATTCCGGTTCCCTATGATTTCTCACTGGCTGAGGCCTTAGATCCAAGGGCCGTTAAACCTGTTTGGAGCTATGCTTAATCATTGGGCACTAAGTTACAGTTAGGGTGGTGGTTTTGCTGTGTTCTCCTCCAGTAGTAAGGTTGCTTAGTCATCCTTGAGCACTAAGTTACAGTTAGGGTGTTCTCATGCAGTAGTAAGGTGACTGGCAGTGACGCTGTCCTTTCCAGAAAGCTAGGAGAGAATTCTCAAAGTTGTTACCATAAAGAAATAATCAGTGTCTAAGGATATAGATGCATTTTGGAGACACACACACACTTTTTTTTTTTTTTTTTTTTTTTTTTTACATTTAGAGAGAGAGCACACACTTTGACACTTTGGTTCTCATGTGTGGTGGTCAGAGAATCATTTTCAGGAATAAAGTCTCTCTTCTATGTTTTGATCCAAGTCAGGTCCTCCAGTTTGGAAGCCAGTGCTTTCCCACTATCTTGTCAGCCTTATGTACAGCCTTTTTGTTTATCCAGTTTTTAATTTTTCATTTCCTCGTATATTTCTTATAACAAGATTGGGCAGAAGAAATGAGTAAAAGTTTCCTTAGATCTAGTTAAATCTCAGAATATTTCTCAGTTCCAAGACCAAACCTCTCTACTTCTCAACTCTAAACTTGGGCGAAATAAAGAGTGTTTGTTTCAAGTCTGTATTTTAATTATAGCAGGACTGTGAATTTCTCTTCCTTCAGTCTTCCTTGGATGTTTGCTTACTGCATGAATTGTTCTTCTTGAGGCATGCTAGCCTTACCCTCTAGACTGCAAACTGAGGTCCAGGATTGTATGTGCTGCAGCTCATCAGGTCTGTGACTTGAGTACACTCACCATGAAAGTGGCTCAGTGCCTGTCTCAGCAGGGTTAGTCTTCCTGCTTTGAAGAAATCAAAGGGAGGAATTTAAAAAAAAAAAAAAAGGTGTGTGGTTAGGGTAAAGGATACTTAACTTATGATATATAAAACAATACTTTTTAAAGTAGTCACATTGGTGAGAATAAAGTAGAATTTTGTGTTATATTTACATAATATAATGTTAGAAGAGCTGAGCTTTAGTCTGGTCAGTCTTCAGGGTTCTGTAAGATGATGAGAACAATGATTCTCAGATGCAGTGTTTATCGGTTTGAGGCCGCCGCTGCCTCCTCCTCCTCCCCCCTCCTCCTTCTCCTTTTCCTCCTTCTCTTTTCTTTTCTTTTTCCAAGACAGGGTTTCTCTGTGTAGCTTTGGGGCCAGGCTGGCCTCGAACTCACAGAGTTCCTCCTGCCTCTTCCTCCCAAGTACTGGGATTAAAGGCTTGCGCCACCACCACCTAGCTTATGAGTCTTCTTTAAGAGGTTTAAACACTCAATTTATATTTTACTACTTAGAGCAGCAATGTTTACATCTTTTTGTATAACCAAATGAAGTCATCTTTGGCCTTTGATCTTTTCATTTCAAGGGTGGCTTTTTCCTTCACTCTCTACCACGTTGTCTTTTTAAGCTTTGTATTTTTCTTGCAAACACTGCCTTCACTTGTTGGCTCCACTGGTTGCCCCCTCTTCTGATCGTCCTTTATCAGTGCCAGTCCCACTCGAAGGTGGCCCTGTGATGCCACATTTAATAGCTTCTCTTTTCTCTTGTTCTGATAATAGCCAGATGTCCTTAGTAAACTTCTGTACCTGTTACATCATTACAGTTGCTCTGATCCATGCTGCTGCTTCTCTTAGATTCTCACTGTCTTTCTTTGTTGGCTGATTGCTGAGACTTCCTTGACTTCCAACTTGGTGTTCAGTATTGGGCATCTTTAGTTAATATGCGCGGTAGGTTGCCAAGAGTATGAGCCCATTTAATATAACTTCAGGCCTCACCAAAGCAAACTTGTGTACAGGTAACACTGGTCCTAAGAATGACTCGAATCTACCTCAAGACCCAGCAATACCACTGTTGAATATATACCCAAAGGATGCTCAGTCATACCACAAGGACATGTGCTCAACTGTGTTCATAGCAGCATTATTTGTAATAGTCAGAATCTGGAAACAGTCTAAATGTCCCTCGACCGAAGAATGGATAAGAAAAATGTGATACATTTACACAGTGGAGTACTACACAGTGGTAAAAAAAAAATAATGACATCTTGAAATTTGCAGCCAAAAGAGTGGATCTAGAAAAAAATCCAGATGTAACCCAGACCCAGAAAGACAAATATCATATATACTCACTCATAAGTGGCTTTTAGACATAAAGCAGAGAAAAACCAGCCTATAGTCTCATAATCCCAGAGAACCTCGACAAACAAAGAGACCCTAAGAGAGACATACATGGTTCTAATCTACATAGGAAGGAGAAAAAGACAAGATCTTCTGAGTAAATTGGGAATGTGGGGATCACAGAAGAGGGTAGAAGAGGAGAGGGGAGGAAGGGAAGGGAGCAGAGAAAAATGTTTAGCTCAATAAAAACAATTTAAAAAATGACTGGAACCTCCCTGGTTCCCCCTTCTTTGCTTCTCCTGACTGTCAGCAAGTCAGCTGTCCAGCATTTGGAAATCCACAGAAAGTCCACTCTGTTCAGCTGCAGCTAGGGCACAGGGGTTTTTTGGTCTTACGCTGGCTCACAGTGGTGAGAGATGTTCAGTGTCTCCACCCAGTGTTAGCTATTTGGGTGGAGGAGGGGTCCTAAAGGCTGAATCCCCGGAAGGAAAGCTAACAAAATGCATTTGACCTTTGTGCAGGGTTCTGTTCTGTGGATGAATGGTCACTTTGAGGTTTCTGGTGTGCTATACCTGCTTTTCTTAGAGCTAATGATTATAGTTACTGTGGGTTATCTGAGAACAAAGGACTCGGTTGAAACATGAAAATGATGATCAACATTTCTTTGTGGAATTTAACAGTTTTAAGAGTGGCAGCTAAAAAGAATGGCAACTTATGTTTTAACTGGTAATTTTTAAATAAAATGCCTATTAAACTAATTCATAGTTATAGACTATTCCATGAAAACAAGGATTTTTCTGTTTTCACTATTACAACATTGACCCTTCATAATCAAGTGATAACTCAAAATAATAATTGGTTAAGTCATTGAGTTTGTGAAATTGTTGACTTTCAGTATTTGCTTTTTGGGTAATATTTACTCTTATTGTATTACACATTTTAAAAGATAAATGATCCCTAGGATAGAGCAGTGACTCATTGGCTTTTCTCCTCTCCCTAGACCCACCGCAGGCTCTGGATCAAAGTGGTTCTTTTCCTCCCACTGACCTGGAACCAAGTCTCTGCAGAACCGGAAGCAGAGAAAAGAAACAATCAGACTTTCTTTTTAATCAACTTGAGACCCTGACTCCAAGGACAGAGACACAGTGAAATAAAGTATTTTGACGGCCATTCCTCACTCGGAGGGCGAACGTTGTGGAGCTTCTTGCCTGGAGACTTGGAGCCTTTGGTGGTGCTTGCTCAGGCCTTGGACTGAAAGCATGAGTGAATTCTGGTTGTGCTTCAACTGCTGCATTGCAGAGCAGCCTCAGCCTGTAAGTATCTGTGTGAATTGCACGTTGGCTGTCAAACTGAGCAGTTGTGTTTCTAGGACTGTCACAGGGAATAGTAAAGAGCTGGAACTCTGAGTATCTGTTAAAACAAACGGACAAACAAAAACAGGCCCTTGGGCTTGGTGACACACACCTATAATCCAGCACTCTGCTAGGCTGAAGCTGGAGGAATGCTATGAATTTGAGGCTAGCCTGATCTACAAAGCAACTTTAGGACTAGTCAGTGCTTTATAGCAAGATTTTGCCTAAAAAAAAGCAAAACAAAGGATAGTATATTTTGAGAAAATAGTGAGTATCAAGAACTGTGCTAGGAGCTTGGTGTATCACACACCTTTAATCTTAGCATTTTGGAGGCAGAGGCAGAGGCAGGTGGATCCTTGAGTTTCAGAGCAGTTAGAGCTGCATGGGGCTGCTGCCCACCCACCCTACCCTGTAGGGCGGGGAGCTGTTGTATGCCCCATTATGCATCCCTGAGAAGCTTTTCAGAGCCCTGACAGATGGAAGGACAGAGAGGAAGAGGAGGCCTGTGTTAAGGACCACATCAGATAATAGACTGGTGCTGGGGAGGTGTGGCAGCCAGGCCCCTGCAAGGTCTCCACTCATCTGCTGATTTCCTCCCAGCTCTTGTTTCCAGTTGTGGGAGGGCCAGTTGTTTTGCTCACAGTCACACAGGTGGTGGTAGGTGGCACTGGGTGACTTCTTCACACAGTCTGTGCTGCCTAGCTTATGTCAACCTGATATAAGCTGGAGGCATTTGAGGGGAGGAAACCACAACTGAGAGATTGCCTCCATAAGATCAGACTGTAGGCAAGCCTGTGTAGTAGTGGCTTAATTATGGGGAGGCCCAGCCCACTGTGGTTGTTTGTGCCACCCCTAGGCTGGTGGTCCTGGGGACTATCAGAAAGCAGGCAGTAAGTAGCACCCCTCCATGACTTCTGCATCTGCTTCTGGCTGCTTAAGTTCTTAACCATGCGTTCCTTTGATGGTGGACTGTGGTGTGGAAGTGTAAGCAGATAATAACCCTTTCTCTCCACTTGCTATGGTCATGTTGTTTTATTACAGCAATAGAAACCCTAAGACAGAAGCCCTTTTTTTAGTGCCTCTTAACCTTTATGCAGAGGCCCACATCAATTCATCTCTGGAAGGCTGGGGATACAGCTCAGTGGTGCAGGGTTTTGGTTTTAAGATTGAGTTTTGCTGTCTAGGCTGGCCCAGATCCTGTAATCCTTGGGAGGCTGGGTTATAGGGTGCTAAACCATGCTTTTAGTGCCCATTCTGAATTCTGTAGAGGCTGGACTATGTTCCTTTGTGTCCTTGGGGAATGTGTGTATACTTGCTAGCTGGTTGATTGAATAAATGAATCTATATTTTATTCAACTTTGTAATTATACAAGGATGATGAGGATTACATTTTAAAATATATTTCTCATCAAGTTATCAGTCTTTGAACTTTTGCTGTTTCAGACATGTTTTTCAGATTCAGGTGTTATCAGTGTGTTGGTTTTTAACTTACTTTTGTTATAGCAGGATTTGTGGGAGGTATCTTCACTTCCGTGCTCTGTAAACAAGTTATGCGCTGTCTTCCACTTTCACACTTAGCTTTTTTATGGATGAAAGGTGAATTTACTGATGTGCATCAAGTTGGGTGTACCTGTCCATGCTAATCAGCTAGCTAAAGACACTTCATTGAACAGTCATTCTTTTTATTAGTGATTTGATGTCACCTGTTATCTGTTAAATACGTGAGTCTAGTTTTGAGAAATGCAGTGTTATGTTCGTTCTTTTGACACAGTTGCCTCTGCTACTTTTTTGTTAATTTTGTTTTCTTTACTGGTGGGGCTGAGATTGAGCCCAGGCAGGTGCCTCCTTCAGTAGTTGCTGCTCTTCCTTCATGCTTTCTTACCTCACAGGGGCAAAGTCTTTTCATAGCTTTTCTTTGTCAGCGATGTTTGTTTTTAAAGTGGATTGTGGTTACATTTCCTTATATGCTATCGTCTGTCTGTCTATCATCTAGATATATCCCTTAAACTGCACTCAGAGCCTTGCCCATAGTACAAGGAAAAGTATTCTACCGCTAAACTGTATCCCAGCCTTATTACATTTTTATATAAGGTATTGTATGGTGTAGATTCTCAGTCCTGTAGGCATTTTAATATTACTCTGAGTTTAAGGTTCCAGTTGTGTGAGAATTGACATCTTTAGAGTTTTGAGTAAAGTAATTGTGTTGAGTAGTGGATTTCATTACCTAAGTTTGTGTATTTCCCATTCAGTTTACTCTAGATATTGTATGAACTTTAATCCTGTTCTTAAATTCTGTTTTCCTATTATATTTTCCTAATGGTTATTATTATAAGACTAACAGTTGTATGTTATCTTTGTAATATATAGTTGGAAACACTGAAATTAGTTTAACAATAATTTAGTGTTGGAGGAGAACCAGGCTGCTTGTTCATCCCAGCTGCCCAGCTAGCTTAGCCCTGAAATAACCACACAGAAACTGGATGAATTAAAACACTGCTTGGCCCATTAGCTCTAGCTTCTTAATGGCTAACTCTTATACTAATTTAACCCATTTCTGTTAGTCTATATATCACCACGTGGCAGTGGCTTACCAGGTAAAATTTGCAGCGACTGTCTCCGGCAGATCCATGGCGTCTCTCTGACTCTTTCTTTCTTTCTCCCAGCATTCAGTTCTGTCTTCCCTGGTTACCTAAGTTCTGCCTTAAAAACAGGCCAAGGCAGTTTCTTTATTCATTAACCAAGAAAAGCAACACACAGAGGGTACTCCCATATCAGTTTAGTTGAAACATTTTTATGTACTAAATACTCTGAATACTACCTTCCTTTTCAAAACTGTTAATTACATTTTTATTTATTTTGTGTGTGGTAAGAGGGGGTGGCATGCCTCAGTGCTCAAGTGGAGGTCAGAGGACGATTTGTGGAAGTCAGTTCTTCCCTTCCACCATGTGAGTCCCAGGGATCAAACTCAAGTCATTACACTTGGTGACAGATACCTTCACCCACTGACAATCAGCTCCTGCATGCAGACTGACTTCTTTATTTTCGGATATTTAATTATTTTCTCTTTCTGAAATCCTTTTTTAAAACAGAATGTCTTCTGTTTATTCATTACCGTTTAGCACGTGTAGACAATGATCTGTCCCAAACCCTCTCCTCTCACCTCTTATACCCTTCATGCCTTTTTTGGGGGGAGACTCCCTTAGTGTTGCCTCCTGGAATGGTGACTGATCCTGTCGGCTTTATCTTAGGCAGGCAACAACAGTGGGCAGCGGTGAACTACCGCATCTACAGAGACAGTGCTCCTCAGCGCTCGCTCTTAAATTCTTTCTGCTCCTTCTTTTTTCTTTCTTTTAATTTTTTTCCCTGAGACAGGGTTTCTTTTTGCATGTCCCTGACTGTCCTGGACCTGTCTTGAACTCACAGAGAGATCCACTTGCCTCTGCCTCCCAAATGCTGGGATTAAAGGCATGCACCATCACTGCCCAGCTTCTCTCCTTCCAGGATGTTCCTTGAGCCTTGTCAATGGGTATGGCAGGGCTTGATAAAGATGTCCCATTTAGGGCTGATCACTCAGTAGTTCTCAACACTTGGACCAGTTATAAGTCTAAGCATTAACTGCTGCCACTGCAGAGGAAAGCTTTGGCCAAGGTTGAGAGGAACACTAATCCATCTCCCTCCCTCCACCCCACCCTCACACCACATGGTCTCATTATGTAGTTCTGCCTGGCCTGGAACTTGCTACATAGACCAGGCTGGCCTCAAAGTCACAGATCTGCCTGCCTTTGCCTCCCAAGGTTAAAGGTATGTGTCACCATGCCCAGCCTAGCAGTAATCTCTTTAGGGACTCCTTGCCTTCATTAAGACCCACAGTGTTGATAGGTTGATAGCTGACTGCCTTTGCTTGACTTGAGTGGGATCTAGGGAATGGAGGTTTAACTCAGGCTTCTCCCATGACATGCTTTTTCTGTCTCAGGGCTGCTGGATGCTATGCAGGTTTTGTTCTGGCGTTTGTAACTCTGATGACCGAGATAGTTTTCTTTCAGTCGCCTATTGTCAGTGGATAAGGAGAGTCGTAGATTTCAGTTTGACCAGACTTTTCTTGTGTGGTTTTAGTGGTAATGCCCAAACTCCTTACAAGTCAGCCCAGTTACAAAAGCAAAGTTACATTGCCATACATTTTGTTCCTTTTCCATTTTATGTGTGTATGTGTGTCCTTATTTTGTGCATGTATAGGGCACATATGTGTATATATGCACATATCAACACTGTGGGTCTTAATGAAGGCAAGGGTCCCTAAAGAGATTATTGTTAGGCTGTACATGGTGACACATACCTTTAATCCCAGCACTCAGGAAGCAAAGGCAGGCAGATCTATGACTTTGAGGCCAGCCTGGTTTTTATAGTTCTAGGCCAGCTAGAACTGCACATATGTGCATGTGCATATGCAGGCCCAAGGTTGATGTCAAGAATTATCCTCAGCTGTTCTTCCACCGTAGTCATGGAGGCAGGATCTGTCTGTCATACCCAGAGCAGCTTGTTCTGGAGAGGTGTCTTTTCTCTGCCTTGGGAGGCTAGAAGTACAGGTGGGCTGCCATGCCCCCGACTCTTACAGGGGTACCGGGCATCTAGACTCCAGTCCCCACTCTTACATGGCAAACACTTTACCCAATGAGCTATCTCCTCAACCCCGTGTTGCCATGTTTTAAGAGTGCACATAATAAATTGAGCATGCTGTTTGAGTCCAGGCTTTGGAGTTACAAGAGAGGGACAATGGAAATGGATCATTTTCTTTCCAAAAAGACTTGTGTAACATTTGGCATGCCAGTTACATAATATATATTTATGTGGGCTGGAGGGGTGGCTCAGTGGTTAAGAGCATTCCTGCACTTCCAAAGGTCCTGGGTTCAGTTCCCAGCAACCACATGGTGGCTCACAACCATCTGTGGTGAGGTCTGGTGCCC